GACCCCAGAAAATAATGAAAATTCAAACTTTGTAATCACCAGAGAATAAATATAAAAAGTTGCCAGAAAGTTAACCATCTCTTCTTTCCCACTTCCCAGCAAAAAGAAAAAGAGGTTTTCACAGAGGATGCCTGCCAAATCCTTAAAAGGTAAATCATTCCAAGGTGATTTCTATTATTCCAGTAGAGAGAGAAAAGGGAAATTCGATAATTCTTTCATGAAGTGAAAAACACATCAACACCAAATCTTGAGAAGGATTTCACAAAAAAAGAAAAAAAAAGTCTCCCTAATAGATGTTAAAGCAAAAATTTTAAATAATATATCAACAAATAAAATCTAGCATGACACTAAGAGAATTAAACATGATCCGATCAAATTTATGCAAGAATTCAAGAATGTGTTCAATATTATAAAATCTATTAATATAATTTATTACATTAATTATATAAAACGCAAAGGTATACCTGAACAAAGGAAATAATGTAATCTGTTCTTGATTAGGGAAATTCAACTGTGTAACAATGCCAAATCTCTCTAGGTTGTTTTCTAAATTTAGTGTAATCTTAACAAAATTATTAAGTTTTGGGTTTGGTTTTAGAAGTAGACTAGATGGGCTGGGTGCCATGGCTCACACCTGTAATCCCAGCACTCTGGGAGGCCGAGGTGAGTGGATCACCTGAGGTCAGGAGTTTGAACCTGTAATCCCAGCACTCTGGGAGGCCGAGGTGAGTGGATCACCTGAGGTCAGGAGTTTGAGACCAGCCTGTCCAACATGGCAAAATCTGGTTTATACTAAAAGCATTCCTGTACAGGAATCAAAACCTTAGCCAGGTGTGGTTGCAGGCTCCTGTAATCCCAGCTACTCTGGCGGCTGAGGCAGAAGAATTGCTTGAACCTGTGAGATGGAGGTTACAGTGAGCCGAGATTGCACTATAGCACTCCAGCCTGGGTGATAGAGTGAGACTCTGTCTTAAAAAAAAAAAAAATGTAGACTAGATGATTCTAAAGTTCATATTGAAAACAGGACAAATCTAAACAAAAAGAACAATGACCAGGGGTCCAGTCATATCAGATATTAAAATATGTCATCGAGTTCAATAATTAATGAATTTAATTAACCATTAATTAAATTAGGATTGCACTGTGATATAAATAGTCCAGTGGAACAGGAGAGAAAGTTCATTGATACAGTAAGATACATTCTATAATATAGAACAAAAGATAAAAGTGATATCTTAAGTCAGCAGAGAAAAGGTATTTCATAAAGGATAGTAGGTCAACTGAATATCTGTCTAAACATAGCTCACTTCGTACACTAGAGTAAACTCCAAACAGATGAAGTAGTTAAGTACAAAATTTCGAACTATAAAAATATTAGAAGAAAATGTGGGGTATGAAATTTTATTTAATGGTTCAGAATCCAATATTCATAAAAGAATTGATTTATAAATTTTACAATATACCATTTTTAAAAATTTCTAGCTAGCAAAATAAAACCATTAGCAAAATCAAAAGGCAAAATCAAACGACAAAATATTTGCAAGTCATATTACAGCTGAAGCTTTTAATCTTTATAATATGTAAAGAGCTCTCAGATATAATAAAAAGAGTAATAACTAAAAAGAAAAAAGGCAGAAGACATGAATAGAAAGTTCACAGTAAAAAACATAAATGGTTTTTAAATACAGAAGGACACATGTAAGAGAAAATCAAATTAGAACAATACTGAGATACCATTTTTCATCTATCAGATTGGTAAAAATGTTAAACATTGACAAAACATTCTGTTTGTGAGGTTGGGTGGAAACTGGTAAGTGGTTGGTGAGAGTGTAAATTGGCACAAACTCTATGGAGGGCAATTTTGGAACAATTGCAAAGCCATAAAAGCGTATATACCCTTTGAGCCATCAATCTCGCTTCTGGGAATTTATCCAACTGATAAACTTGTTCAGTTACTAAGTGACAAATTATTGCAGCATTTCTTGTAGTAAAAATTTGGAAACATACGTAACATCCATCAAGAAGAGACTAATTAAATAATCCTAGTATATCCATTCAACGGAATATATGTAGACGCCAAAAAACAAAAATATTTTTATATATTATAGGAGATTTGGGATATATTGGTACTTGACATGGGATGCAAGAGGTGTTTAAGGTATGCTACTTTGTATGACGGAAGTGGGTGGTGATAAGTATACCCCTTCATACATGTTTGTTTTCTGTAGGAATCTCAGGAAGGTAATAAAGGTGGTTAGTACAGGGGGGCGGGGAGCTCAGTGGATGGGGGCAAAAATGGGAATAAGAACTTTTCCTGTGCCACTTTTGATACTGCTTTTTTGTAAGCTATTGAAATATATTTCCTATTCAAAGTTACTTGATAAACACTGAAAGCTTTGCAAAGTTCGCTCGAAGTCACGGTGGAGATGGAGGCGTGCAGAGGGGAGGAATGGCTCCTGCGCTCCAAGGAGGAGCCTGGAGAGGCCCCTCAGAGTCTCTGCTCACAGGGAAAGGACTGGCCGACACTCACAGCTCTTCGAGAATGAGCAACCCCAGACCGTGCAGCCAGCCCTGAGTCAGCACCCCCAGACCATGCAGCCAGCCCTGAGTCAGCACCGGGCCCTGCCTCTGCCCGCAGAGAAGTGGCTTTCTCAAGGTGAGTCCATGAAGAACGTGCTTCTGGCCTGAGCTGACCTGCCTGGGGCAAAACGAAGGCTTTCCCAACCTTGCCCAACTGGAGGACACACCCAGCTGTCTATGGCAAAAGCCAAGGTTGTGTCCCAGAGTCAAAGCCAAACAGAGACCCGAGGAGATTGTCCAGACAACACAGCACAGCAGAGGAACAAGAGAGCTCCCGTCAGCCATCACCTAGTCAGGCGGTCCACTCCCTTTCCTTCCTGGGAACACAGTGTAGCCCAAGGGAAGACAGTGTGGGTTTCTGTGTTAGATAAGGGAGCAGTTTCCTGCTCTGATGCTCGACAGTTAAGGGTAACTCCAGGCAAATCACTGAAGCTCATGAGAACTCAGTTTCCTAATCTATGGAATGGGTACACTTGTGCCCAACTTAGATAATTCTTGGGAGGATTAGAAATAAGGCATGTAAAGTGCTTGGCATTTTGTGCTTAGTTCACGGTAACCAAGTGGGCTCCATGTGTTAATATATCTTTCACTTTCAGCTCTGCCTAGTGGAGACTTCCACCAAGGAGAGATCTCTGAGCAACTACCTAGCTATTATCTAGCTTCATTAGACAACCGGTTATGTTCATATAGTCTAGGTTGAGCCAGATGGGGCAAAAGAACTAATTCAGGAATGGCAAATACCCTAACCATGTGTACATGTCACATTTCTTCTCTATGCTTAGGGTGGACATTGCTATTCTACCCTAGACATCACTAGTCTACCCTACGACATGGAGAATTCTTCTCAATGGCATGCTCCAGACAGCCATTGCCCATTGGCCGTCATGCAGGAGAGGTGAAATCCACTTAGCAATTCTAGACAGATATTTAAACCCCATCACAATCTTGCTTCCTCTGATTTCTCAGATTCCATCAAAAATGACAATAGAAAATACTTCCAATACTTAATTTTAAAGAACATTAAAATAGATGACCACTTTTGCATTATTTAATTAACATCAAAACATTTGTCTTTGGTGTGAGGTGGACCAGGTCACGGTCAGAGCTTTCCCACCAGGTCCTGCTGTACCTGGAGGGACTCTCACCTGGCAGGAACTTGACCCCTGCCTGGCTCACCTTTCATTAGAAGATTCTGTAGCACCCACAAATGTTCTCCTGCATTTGCGCTTTTTATTTTATTTCTTTATTTTGGCAACAGGATCTTGCTCTGTCACCTAGGCTGGAGTGCAGTGGCACAATCACAGCTCACTGCAGCCTCAAATTCATGGGCTCAAGCCATCCTCCCTCCTTAGCCTCCCCAGTAGCTGGGACTACAGGCATGCGCCACTACATCCAGCTAATTTCTGTATTTTTTGTAGCGATGGGGTCCACCAGGCTGGTCTCAAACTCCTGGAGTCAACTTATCCTCCTGCCTTGGCTTCTCAAAGGGCTGGGATTACAGGATTACATGTGTGAACCACTGTACCCAGCCTGCATTTTACTCTTGAAAGAAATTCTGTGTATCCAGTTCGCGTGGCATTGGTTCTCTAGGCTCTGCCGTGGGGCTCTGGGGGAAAGGGAAGGGACGGGGGTGTTTATTAAGTACTGACTGTTTGTGAGACAATCTATTTAATCCCTTCTTTTTACCCATCTTTTGAGGCAGTTGCTACCACCCCCATTGCACAGTGGTAAAATTAAGGCTCAGAGAGTTTAAATAGCTTCTTCCCAAGGTCGCAGAGCTAGTAAGCTGGCTGAGTGAATTTCTTGCCTGTTTAAACAACAGTTATGAGGCAGAACAAACGCTCCCAAACGAAATGTGTCTGGATCTGATTTCTGTTTATTCCTTAACTTGAAGTGCAGGAACCTAGTTGGGGGCATAGTGGTAGAACTCTTTAATTTGGATGGACATGGTTTCACAATTAAAGCTCGTTTCGTTTTGTTCTCATTTCTGCCGCACGGTGGAATGGTCAGCCCACGTCCCCGTGGAACCACCCACCTTTCCACGAAACCCTCCAAGCTGGTAAAGGCTGGGTCATCAGGGAAGTTCCCACTGTGCCTTTTTCTGCCTGGCAGCCCTCTGCTTCATTGATGAAGGTTCAGCCAGGACTCCTGGGCTGCCCCTCAATCAAGGCCAAGCTGACTCACAGCCACTTGTGACAGTAAGTAAAACATCCCCATCATCATCATCATCCGATGAAAACTGATCCCACCCCAGTCCTATGCTGGGCCCTGGGTGCTAAAGACAAGATCTTTCTTGAGCACACCACTGCCTGGGCCTCACAGCGAGGTATGTGCTTGTACTTTACCTGATGTATCTCCCTTTATCCACACGGTGGATTATACCAACCTCATGGGATAAATGCTATTATTATTTCTTTGGGGCAGTTTTTACAGCTTTATTTAAACACAAAACATACACATGAGCTGTCTACACATTTTCTTTGCTGCGCAGCCTGGCATTGGAGTTGGTGACTCTGATGGCCAGCTGAGCGAATCTTTCCATGATGGCTTTGCAGTTCGTGGAGGAAACATCGTGAGCCATCTCAGCACAGTAAGATTTTTTGCAAATCAGCAGCACTTCCAGCTCCTTGACGTTGTGGACCAGGAACTCCCAGGAGCCACTGGGAAACATGTGCTTTGTTTTTTTTCTGCTCCAATAACCAGTGCTAGGCATCAAGATCTGGCCTTTGAACCTTCTACTAACCCTGTTGTCAATACCTCTGGGTCCCTGCCAGTTACACCCAGTTTTGACATATCAGTCTGACTGGTGCTGGATGTGCTGCTTAGTTCTCTTTTTGACCATCTTGGGCTTCACAAGAGATCTGAGGACAGCCATGATGCTGAGGAAGAGATAGCTGCCACCTCTGTAGGGAGCGCCAAGGAGGAGGATAAATGCTGTTACTAACCCCACTTTACAGATGAGTAAATTGAGATTCCAGATGGTGACGTTGCTTGTATAAGGTCATACCCTTAGCAAGTGCATCTGGATTTACGTTCTGAGCTCTTGACTAATCTATGTGGCCTCTAAAGGGCACCTTCATTAGAGACTTGTATTCGTTAGATTATGTCTAATTATGAGTAATAGAAAAAAAAAAAAAATAACAGTAGTTTAAGCAGCATAGACGTTTACTTCTCTGTTGTGTCCAAGACATTCTGAGGAGCTGTCTGGGCTGGTATGGTGCCCCAGAATGTCGATGAATCAGGTTCCTTCTCTCTGTTGTTCTGTGCCGCACTGGTTTCATGCCTAAGGTCACCTCATGGTCCGCGGTAACTGCTGGGGCTCCAGCCATTGCATTTCACTCTTGCCAGCATAAAGGAAGAAACAAATTAACTTGTACATGCTTTTTCTTTAAGCATATTTTCTAGAACGTTTCAACCACTTCTAATTAGATTGCATTGGCCAAAACATAGTCACATGCAAGGCAAACTGGGAAATATTTATTTGGGCTAGTTATCTGTTAAAATTTGCTGTTCTATTATGAAAGATGAAGAGAAGATTGAACACAACTCATTATTTCTTTATTTGAGGCCAAAACAAGTGCCTGAGCTGGGAATTAATGTATTCATTGATGAGTAATTTATTTATTAATTCTTAAAACTATTATGTAGAAAGGGTTTCCTCTGTGGTCATCTGATTCTCCATCCTGGGGACCCAGGGTAACTAAGACAGACAGAGTCTCTGCTGCCGTATTCTTACAGTTCATAGTCATACAGTTAAAGTCATGCCTCTGACTTTAATCCGGTTTGTGACTCCAATAAACAACATCCTTCTCTGAGCATTCTTGTTTTCATCTACAGAAATGTTGGATCCCATAACTGATAAGGACTTTCTAGCTAGAATATTCCCTGATGAGATGTCTCTGAGATTTAGGAGAAAGGCAGGATGATAAAGAGCTTGGTTCCATTTCCTCCCCAGGGATAACAATCACTAACTCCCAGGGTTATTATTTAAAATGGGTGGGTCCCCTGGGGAAGTGCCCAGAGAGGTGCCTGGCAGAGAAGGGAGTCTTTTCTTTATAGGTGTCCCTGTCTCTTCTAAAGAAGAAGGAAATTCCCTGGACATGTAAGGAGAATGCATTTGGGGCTTTGGGACATCCAGGGAGTGTGGGGTGCCCAGGGCTTGGAGGGCTGTCAAGGGAGGTTGGAGGGCATCAACAGTCTCTCACTCACTCCCCACACTACCCTGACTCTGGGAAATTCTCCCATCCTGGGGAAGAGAATCACTGCAGCCCTTTTACCCAGGATGGGAAGTCTCTCTGAGAGGCAGCACGTGGATTCAGAGCCCATCAGCCTGAATTTAAATCCTGGCTGTGTCACCTACTAGCTTATAGTATGGGCTAAACTGTGTCCCAAAAATTCACAGGATGTACCCTAACCCCCAGTACCTCAGGATGTGACTGTATTGGAAGACAGGTCTTTACACAGGTCCTCAAGTTAAAATGAGATAACTAGGGTGACCTAATCCAATGTGACTAGTGTCCTTAGCAGAAAACCTGGCCACAGGTACAGAGGGAAGGCCATGTGAAGACACACAGAAGAGACAGTCATCTACAAGCCAATTACAGGCCTCAGAAGAAACCAGCCCTGCCGACATCTTGATCTCGGACTTCCGGCCTCCGGACCTGTGGGAGAATCCATTTCTGTTGTTTGAGCCCACGCTCTGCATTCTGGCAGCCCTAGCAAACTACGACAAGCTCTGTGATGTGACACTTTTCTCACTTAAGCTCTGTGTTCGCTTTCCTCATTTACAAAACTGCTAGCATAGCAACATCTCCCTCAGAAGACTGTGCTGAGGCTGTCAATCCCGAGAGCACTGAGAACAGGGCGGGCCGCAGGCTTTGCTCTCACTAAGCATAAGCCACGATTATAATGGTGAGTGCCCGCCCACCTCCTCCTCAGACCTCAAAGGCCGAGGCTCCTGTCTACACCCCGACCTCGAGCATTCGGTGGAATTGACACTGCTCCTAGCAGGTCACACTGTTGGACAGACCAGGCCTGAGCTGACTAAACGCATGATAAATGAATGGAGGCGGCCTTACAAGTTTACTGAAACAAGCATTTCGATCAACACCAGTGGATATCTTAACTGTAAATGCTTCAAGGCAGAGAAGAAACTGTTGGTAGTGCGTGAAGTACACGAGTGCCCAAGGGTGCAAATAGGGGATTTCTTTTGGGGAAGAGGCAGCAATGCTAACAGTCACTCCCACAGGAGGTAAGCCAGGCCAGAGACGCTGGCCCCAGGCCAAAGGCTTACCTGCATCTTGGGAGGCTGACGCAGCTTCGTGGAGAACGTGGCCGACGAGGGGGACGTGACTGAGCAAGCGGGCAAGCAGGTGCAAGGTGGCAAAGCTGTCAGAGAAGCCAGGGAGACACCTGTCGGGCTGGGCCACCGGGAAGAACAGCGCCCTGCACCAGCGTTCTGCAGAGAAGCCCCCAGATGCCACCAGCAGAGCTGATGGGGGCTGAGCAAGGCCCATGGATGCGATGTCACCTGGCTGCCTAGGGGGTCACCCAGAGCAGGGCCTACCCTCCAGGCCTGGGGCTGACTCCTGGTCCTGGCTCCTCCTCCTATCTTGCCCTAGGGAACTTCATAAAAGGCTTCTCCAGCACGTATTCGCAATGGAATTTCTGTTGCTTGGATATAAGACACATGTGAAATATTCCATTGTATTCTCCCTGCACAAATTTTTAGAGTCTCAGCCACACAGAGAGGTGCTGCCTGGTACTTGCTTCCCACCACTGCTGGGGAAATCGCTGGACAGAGGGCCTGTCCACCCCAAACGTCCCACATGAGGCTTTCCTCTTCCACTTTGTCTACTGAGTTTCTGCCTGAGCCCTCCGCTTCCCAACCACGCCCCCCGCCCCGCTTTCTGGTAATGGATCCCTCAGCTCCTCCACCTACGATACCAGAACCATTCTGGGAACCGAGGAAAGCACACCGAATCTAGGAATCCCGTTGTGCCCAGAGTTGGGGGTTGGAGCCACAAAGACGTCTGGAGAAGATGTTTACACCCAGTTTTGTTGGAGGTCAAAGGCAGCCACCCGAAGTCAGCCTGCCATCTGCCGACGTGCCCACTCAGCTCATTAACACTTATTAAGCCTCTACTGTGTACAGCCAAGCTCTGGATGCTGGGACACACTGGAGACCAGGAAATGTTTCTCAAAGAGCTAACCCCCACAGAGGAGAGGCATGCCTGCGAATAGAAAATGGGGCTTACATGTGACATTGCTCTTCCAAAATACCTTTCTCAGAGTCCTCCTGAGAGGCTGGGACACATGGGCAATGGAGACTTGGCGCGAGAGACCAGCCTGGAAGGCCTCCAAAGGAGGGGCCTACAGATGTGTTTTGAAGAACAAAATGTCCACAAACTTCCCACGCCTGCCAGGTAGAAGCTATCTGCACACACATTCTTCCCCCACACCAAGTATATCCACCCCCGTGCGTAACTGTAGGCCTCTTCCTCCACATGGACTGTTAGAAATCGTTTAAACTGTCCCTGAACACAGACACAGTCTTCACCTGTTGTCCAGAGGAGTAAAGGAAGTTTTTCCCCAGTGCTTTTTGGGCAATTGTCCTGTGTTACTCTAGATAGGATTGTCTAGACAAACACAGCAGTAGACTAATAGAAAGTCTACAATGACAGAACTGTGCGCTGGCCAGTCTCAGTAGCCATTGGTCACCTGGGTTACTGAGCACTTGAAACGTGGCTCATTTTAAATTTCATTTCCTTTGAACAAATTTAAACACAGACCCGTGGTGGCCACCGGCTGTTGTATTAGACGGCGCAGGTCCAGCCATCGGAGGCTACTCCTTTGCGGGACTGCAGCCACTCTGTTATCGTGGACATTTGTTCTCAAGATCTGTTTTCTACCCGGAAGCTTCACGCACTGGTACGCTGGCCCTTGCAGTGATGCAGGGATCCCGACATAGGGGTGGTGGGCAGGGATCTGAGGCCACGGGTTCAGGTGTGCAAGAAATATCTATTTTCCTTACTTTTTAAAAAATCCATAGGGACTTGCAGCCCCATTCTGCTGGCTCCGTGGGAAATTCAGTCTCTGTCATTAGTGGACACCCAGCTCCTCTGCACCAGTGTCAGGCAAAGTTTCACGGGTTATGCTATAGGGTAACAGTCTTTGGGGAACTCAGGGTTTCTTCGGAACAGGGGCTGCTGCCTGGGCACCAGGCTCTCCAGAGAGCTGGGTTGAGGACATAGCATTCCCTCTGCCTCCCCATGGCAGGAGCAAGGGGCCTCGCTGTTAACAGAACCCCGGACCTTGGTACCAATTAAAGCAAGCAAAGTGTTCTTCCTTCTCCACCTTTAAGTTTCTCTCCTTCCCTTCTGGGGTTCTTGATGCAAATCTTTCATGCCTTAAGTTTTATCAAAACAGAAGCCAGCAATGACTGTGTCTTGCCTTGGGCCCAGTAACCCTAAACTGCAAGTCAAGTGAGCTCAAATGGTCAGGTTTCTTCCCAAGAGCCCTGCTGAAAAAAATAAAAAAAGAGCCTCACTCTCTAATATTGCAATACATTATCCTTCCTCATAGGCCCGTCACTCACCACATGAAGAAGAGGGGAAAAGACCTGGGAAAGACATTTGCAGAAAAGGAACAGTTTTGTCAGGGCCTGTGGCCAGCAGGATCCAGCGTGGCAGCCTCCGAATGATACTAGTCGCAATGGTGGCAGCTTTCTGAGTGCCTGCTGGGCAATCGTCCCATGAGTCCTCGTGACGAGTTGGATATTGGCATGCCCATTTCAAAGATGAGGAGACTGAGGTCCCAACAGGTTAGACAATGTAGCTAAAGTCTGCAAGGATTAAACCCAGGTCTCTTTGTCTAGAAGCTTCAGTTCCTGCAGGCAGCCTGAAAACAGAGGATGTAAATGAATGTAAGGAGAGAGGCAAGACAGCAATTTGCCTTGGGAATGGGGTGTCTCAGAAGTGAGAAGCCAAGCCCTCAGCCAGGAGATGAGTCAAGTCATTCAGGTGACTCCAGAAACCGAGAGACCAAGCCAGCCTGGCATCCCAAACTGCTGGCCTGTTGCTAAACACGCACGCCTTCCTCAGCTTCTATTAATAATCTGCCAAGAAGCCTCCCACGGTTACTCACCTAATAATTAAACACATGATCACTCTTTCAGAGAGCCTGGCCCACCACCACCGACAGGGAAGGGTGGAGGTGAGATCAGCAGCAATGCCCTTTCTCCCTTTGAGGAGAGGCAGTGTGGGCTGGATTGTGGTAAGACTGGATCTGCAATCCTAAGACCAGGGACCCAGAGCCAGGAACACTCTCTCTGGGTGTCAGGTTCCTCAAACTACACAGGCAGAATGTTGATTTCAAGCATTTCCCCATCAACCTTTGCATTTCCCAAGCACTTGGTTGCTTAGGAAAAAGGAACCATGGAGGTTTGGGGTCATCCAGACACGGTGGTTAGAGACAAGCTTGGCTGACTGCCTGGGTTCCAGTCCCAACTCTACTTACTACCTGGGACATCTTTGGCAAATTACTTAACTTTTTTTCTGCTTTGGTATTTCCATTTATACAGTGGGGATGATAAAAACAGTACCCTACCTTTTGGAGATGTGGTAAAGATTATGATTATTACATGCAAGTGGTTTATAACCATCCCTGGTACTTACATGCTAAATAAGTTAGTTCTTCTCATTAACCGTGAACCCTTGGTCCAGAACTTTACCTGTCTGAAGCTCAGCTTCCCCACTGTCAAAATGGGGATATCGTAATTCCTACAGTTGGATTGCTAATTGCATGAGATGATGTAGGTGAAGTCCCTGTCTAGGGTTGGCATGTGATCACGGCAAGCCCTCTCATCTTGTTCTTTTCTTCTGGAGACTCACAGAAGCCAGGAGAGGGTGGGGAAGCTGGTGGTAACAGGAGGTCGAAACAAAGAATGGAGCCAAAGGAGGAATGAGCCTCCTCTCATTCTTGCAGAGCTTAACTAAAGTGGGCCCTGAGTCCTGGGGAGGTCTTTCAGCAAAGAACAGTCCTCACCACATTCTGGAGGGGTGCATGGGACAAACGGCAGTGGCACCACCATAGGGGAAAAAGGGGATTCTCCAAGAACTTTTCTAATAAGATGTGCTCCAGACACCACTTAATGATCATCATTCCATATGCCTGTCCAGAGATGTTGATGGCACTGGATCCTCCTAGAAAGAGCAGATTCTTGGGAAGCAGCCAGACCTGTTAGTCTTCCCAGCTGTGAGACTGTGAGCAAGGCACTTCACCTCTCTGAGCCTCAGTTTCCTCCTGTGTAAAATGGAGATTATAATATTTGATTCACAGTGTTGTTGCAAAATTCAGAAAGGAAACGTGTATTTAGCACAGTACCTGGCGTATAATAGATGTTCAACATGTATTAGTTTATTAAAGTTAGAGTTCATAATTATATTCCACTTCCATTTTTCTCTCATTTGCTAAGCCCTTGTCAGCTGAGGACCCTGAGGCTCAGAGAGGGGAGTGACTCACTCCGTCCCCGGTAGCTGCCGATTAGCACAACCAAGGACTTTGCAATGAAGCTAGGTTTGGCTTCAAGTCTGGGAGCTGATAAATGGCTCCAGACGTGGAGTGGGGAAGGGAAGCGGTGGAATGGGATTTTTATGACTTGTGGATGGACACAGAGATAGGACAAGTTCTTGAGATTAAATGTTTTAATTATAGGATCTCTCACTGGTAATTCTTGGAGGACAAGTATAATTACATGATATAAATGATGTCATCTCATCAACAAAAAAGACACTCAAATGCATTGCGACAATGAGATACTAACTTTCACCTATCAGATGAGCAAACGTCCACCAGGGTAGCTGTCACCATGTTTTCTCTACTCCTGGTGCTTCCTGGCTTTACCTCTTCCTCCATGGTGACAGCAACTGGTTGGATGTTTCCTTGAGGTCCAATAGATTGCCCATGTCACCAGATCCTGTCCAGCACTACGCAGGCCCTGTTGTTGGAACCCCTTTCCCAAGCCTAGGCTAGGAGTTGGATTTCTTTTTGGTATTAGTCAAGTGTGGCTTCAGCTTCCTCATCTTCCTCATCTTTGAAATGACAGACAGATGGGAATTCCCTCTGAAAACTCCCTGTGCTCTGCACTTGTAAGGAAGATTATTAGGTGCAACCTCCCCACCTACTCATGTGAACTCTTTGAACCTGCCTAGGTTTAAGGTAAGGGCATCAATCTGAATAACACACAGATAGGGAGACTCTCTAAAATCAAATATCACCTACTTGGGACTCAGCATTGTGATGGGGATACATGTGTCACAGTAAAAGTGAGGATTCAGGGAGGCAAAGAAAGATGAAAGTTTTTAAAGGAATAAATAATGAGGAAGATTACATAATTGTTTTAAGATAATTATTCTTGACTACAAGGATCAATAAGAAGGGTGGTATCAGTCCAGGGTTGGACAGGCAGTTGCTGAACAGATGTCCTAGCAGAAGCATTCTTTTTGGTAACATTGCAATGGCTTTGGATAAGTTGTGTTTTTGTAGTCTTTTGTCATAGGTTTTCTTATCAGACATTTGTGTGTGAGAACCCTTTCTTTTTTTTTTTGAGACGGAGTTTCGCTCTTGTTACCCAGGCTGGAGTGCAATGGCGCGATCTCGGCTCACCGCAACCTCTGCCTCCCGGGTTCAGGCAATTCTCCTGCCCCAGCCTCCTGAGTCGCTGGGATTACAGGCACGCGCCACCATGCCCAGCTGATTTTTTTTTTTTTTTTTTGTAGTTTTAGTAGAGACAGGGTTTCACCATGTTGACCAGGATGGTCTCGATCTCTTGACCTAGTGATCCACCCGCCTCGGCCTCCCACAGTGCTGGGATTACAGGCTTGAGCCACCGCGCCCGGCCTGAGAACCCTTTCTTTACAGTCTTCCTCAGTTCTACTTTTTAAGAGTTTATTTAACACAAGTGACTCCATTTTGATTCTGACAACTTTTACATTTCTCGCTTTTGATTAAAATCTTTTTTCAAAGTTGGGTGCCGTGGCTCATGCCTGGAACATCTGCACCTTGGGAGGCTGAAGGAGGCGGATTGCCTGAGCCCGGGAGTTCAGGATCAGCCTGGGCAACATGGTGAGACTCTCTACGACAAAATGAAAAATAGCTCGTGGTGACACATGCCTGTGGTCCCAGCGACTCAGGAGGCTGAAGAGGGAGGATCACCTGAGCCCAGGAGGTCAATGCTGCAGTGAGCTGTGATTGCACCACTGCACTCCAGCCTGGGCAACAGAGAGGCCCTGTCTCAAAACATTTTTTTTTAAGTGTCCAAAAAAAAAAAAAAAAAAGGCTGATGAAAAAACTGTCCTGATGAATCATACTGCAGTTATGATCCGATTGCTCCTCAGGGATGTGATGGACTTGTCCTGGGATGTTGGTCTGAAGGGAATGATTGGTAACTAGAAGTCAGTGTCAAAATTTTCTTAGCCACATTTGAGCAACAAGGCATCTAAGGTTTAGAGGAAGTGACATTTAGGCTAAGTCTACCTGAAGTCTACTGTTAAGCGTAATTTTTTTTCCGTTCTGTAGTCTTTTGGCCATTATCTCAAAGTGCAGGGACAACATCATTTTGATAGGAATCATACTTTTGCAGAAATTTCACAAGTAACAGGTACAAAGTTTCAAAGAAAAATACAAAGTAACATAAACAGTAATATGACAACCCCAGTTTGTATAATAGTTTTGAGCTATAAAAATAGGCTTAAAGGTGGCTAGGTGGTGGCTCACGCCTGTAATACTAGCACTTTGGGAGGCTGAAGCAGGTGGATCACGAGGTCAGGAGTTCAAGACCTGGCCAACATGGTGAAACCCTGTCCCTACTAAAAATTCAAAAATTATCAGGGAGTGGTGGTACACGCCTGTAATTCCAGCTAATTGACAGGCTGAGGTGGGAGAATTGCTTGAACACGGGAGGCAGAAGTTGCAATGAGCCGAGACTGCACCACTGCACTCCAGCCTGGGTGACATAGCAAGACTCCATCTTAGTGGGAAAAAAAGGCTGAAAGGAAACCATGTGAATAAATCAAATGGCCATGGAGAATTAGATGAGACCTATCATAACCATGTGACCTGCTTTTTTAAAAAAAAGCAAACGTTTGTATTGTGACTCAGCTTTTGCAGAGGAATTTATCCGGGTGTAGCATGAAAGGGTAGGCATAAGAAATTAAAAATTGCTGAGATTACAGGCATGTGCCACCATGCTTGGGTAATTTTGTATTTTTAGTAGACACAGGGTTTCTCCGTGTTGGTCAGGCTGGTCTCTAACTCCTGACCTCAGGTGATCACCCACCTCAGCCTCCCAAAGTGCTGAGATTACACATGTAAGCTACTGCACCCTGTCAACTTTTTAAAACTTCTTTTTATTACTTTTCAGCTTAAATGAGTTCAGGAGTTAAATATTTAAATGTTTCTATTTTAGTTATGACTGGCTAAATTGTACAAGGAAAAAACTATCCAGGTGGCCTTGAATTTTAGCAACAAATTTATCTTTTTGTTTATGGGTGCAGTTTGCTTCATTAGTTGATGTGGGCAGGGAAGATTTCAGAAGAAGGTATTTCTAGTTTGGGGGCTTTTTCCTTGGCTTTTGCTGGTGTACGTGTGGCAGACAAAGCAAATTTTTATGCCAGACAGAGAAGCCTTCTATCATTGTTCCAATCTCAAGACTCTGCCCTGTTTGATCCGAGAATGTAACTTTTATAAACATGCTATCCTGTTCTTTCTCTTTTAAACTATCAATCTTTTAATTAACTGTTCCATCACACTAAGTGATTATAGCACAGTAAACCTAAATTTACATTTCCAAAAGGGATGACTCTGGTGTGGAAGGTTAGGTTGTTGGTTATCACGGAGCTGTTGTAATTAGAAAGCACTCTTTCTTTTTTAAGTCTTGGCTGAAGTGCCCTAAGAAAAACTTTTTAGTGTTTTTGAAATTAACAACAGTAGATTATCTTAATAATAGTGAAAAAGAGAGCAGATTTAAAGCAATCAAAGAGGAGAAAGAAAAGGAAAATAAAGGAGATAGATAAAATTA